TTTCCAGAGACCTAGAAGAGTCTCTGGAAAAAGACAACATCATCTCTACTCAAGTTTTCAGATAACATGCATTAGGAGAATAATACTGATGACAGGTATATAGAATCATAGAATGCCCTGGGTTGAAAAGGACCACAGTGATCATCTCGTTTCAACCTCCTGCTATGTGCAGGGTCACCAACCACCAGACCAGGCTGCCCAGAGCCACATCCAGCCTGGCCTTGAATGCCTCCAGGGATGGGGCATCCACAACCTCCAGTTCCAGTGTGTCACCACGCTCTGTGTGAAAAACTCCCTCCTAATATCTAACCTAAACCTCCCCTGCCTTAGTTTAAGACCATTCCCCCTTGTCCTATCACTATCCACCCTCATAAACAGCCATTCCCCCTCTTGTTTATACAGTCCCTTCAAGTATTGGAAGGCCACAGTGAGGTCCCCCTGGAACCTTCTCTAAGTTAGGTAGTGAGTGACCTGCCACTGAGCCTTCAGGATCCCTAAGTATGCTGAACTTTAGCAAGCAGTGCATGTTTCGATATAGCTCCCTTAAAATTCTGTATCCCATCTCAAACCCCACTCTTCCTTCTCCTTAAGATCCCCATGTGAATGAGAGCCCAGCAGAAGCCTGCAAGCTGAATAATGTTTGCATCTGTATGGGTGGGAAGAGAGCTGAGCAGGAACATGGGCTCAAGCACGTGTTGGATAGCACAGACGTGCAGGTGGCTGGGAGTATGAAAAATGGGCAACTATGGAGAAAGACACACATTGCATCCACCATTGGTGCTTTTGCAAATAGCTTTCTCTTGGTTGAGTTCTGATGTTCAAAACTGAAGGTGGTTATCAGATAATCAGGGAAAACCTCAAGGGGAAGCAGAAAAAAAGGAAAATGCAGTAGGTAGAAGAGCTCCAAATGATTTAATTTAAGTCAGTGCCATTCCAGGACTCCTGGCATGATGGGAACACACCCATAATAGAAGATTTATTACATATAAGGTACGGTGGCTGGAAGACAAAGCTAAACAAACTCTGATTGTGTATACTGAAAACATTTTTTACAACAGGTAATAATCACTGGGAAAATGTTCCAAGAGTTGTGGTGGAATTTCCCAGAAATCAAGATCTCTTGTTGCTCCTAAAAGAGGAGCTCTAGTCCAAACACCAATTAACTAAGGGAAATCCTACAGCGTCTGTCACCCGAGAGGTCAGGCTGGATGGCCACATTCTCTGCTGGCCTTGTAGCCTATAAATAGAGTCCCAATGGGGAAAAAATGTATCCTTATCTTAGACCTTCTCTCTGTAGCAGAAACAATAGAAATGCAGAAAGATCAAAAGTAGTTATTTTGCAGCAGTTACGGCTCGTTTGGTGTTTCTACTGAAGAGACCAAAACATGTTGCAGTCTGATTCCAGAACATCATGTGAGCTCTTCCTTCCTCCTGTCAGAGTGCAGCCACGCCTCAAGCACCACTTTTCAGAGCTGCTACCTAGTCAGCATCTGAGAATTACAGCAAAAGCTGGGTTTGAAGTCAGTGGGAGTGCTGCTGTTCTCATGGAAGGGGTGAGTCAAACCAGAACATCTTTGCAATTTCAGGACACACCTCAAACTCTCCATTGGATTTTAAGTGAGACTAGGGGGAATTATGCCACACACACAACAGCTGAGTCTGGCTGAAAGAACAGCTGTTTCTCATAGACAAATACAGTTACATTTAAACAACATTTGAAATGAATTCTACCTACGTAGTGAGTCATTAAATAGCCACAATACCAACAAGAAGTTTTTCCTGTGCACTGGTGCTGCATTTATTGTTATTTGCAAACATTCTATTTATTGCAAAAGCAGTCACTGGAATAAGAGAACTTTCACACAGCGTGTATCCTGCAAACTTTTTGCTTAAATAGCAAATCCCGCCTTGAAGTGTCTGGGGTTATTCTGCACACTTGAATCAAGGGATAGAGGAACACAGAAACAAGTTGACTTCTCTCAGGTCTACCTCTCCTGAGCGTGTGCTAACCAGCAGGCAATGGGGTATTCTGAAACAGAGGGTTCTTCACTCTCTCCGAAGCTGTTTGTTTTTTAATACTTAATACTTTAATACTAAACCACACAGAAAAATGACTCTCAAGCGTGCTGGCCAGGACAACTACCTGGGAGGTATGACACAGGGGCATGAACTCCAAAAACTACTTAAGTATTTCCTTACAAATAAAGGTGAGCATTGCTGACAGGCACGGATGTTACATCCCCTAAGCATGCATACCTGCAGCTTCCTTGGGAGAACAAAATGAGAGTTCAAACCTTCCTGGCAGAGGAAGTCCTGAAATGTGAGTTTCTTACATTTTATTTGGGTGCCTGAAGCACTAAGAATCAGGATAAAATGGGGACTGCCAGCATAGGAAGAACAATGCAATAGTCACATTTGTGATTATAGCTCAGAAAAAAGGCTGGGAAGGGTGTTCTTACCAAAGATAACAATGACCACGTATCAAATCCACAAATAATTTTTAATCAGCCAATTCCTGCCTTTTTAGAGTATATTTTGAGAGGACTCTCCAGTTCAAAATGAAAGTGTTCCAGGCCTTAAGAGTTGGGTCATAGAATCATAGAATGGCCTGGGTTGAAAAGGACCACAATGATCATCTAGTTTCAACTCCCCTGCTGTGTGCAGGGTTGCCAATCACCAGACCAGGCTGCCCAGAGCCACATCCAGCCTGGCCTTGAATGCCTCCAGGGATGGGGCATCCACAACCTCCTTGGGCAACCTGTTCCAGTGCATCACCACCCTCTGTGTAAAAAGCTTCCTCCTAATATCTAACCTAAATCTCCCATATGTCAATTTAAAACCATTCTCCCTTGTCCTATCACTATCCACCCTCATAAACAGCCATTCCCTCTCCTGTTTATAAGCTCCCTTCAAGTATTGGAAGGCCACAGTGAGGCTTCCCCAGAGCCTTCTCTTCTCCAAGCTAAACAAGCCCAGTTCCCTCAAACTGTAAAACTTCAGTTAGAAAAACTAAGTGTCAGTGATTTTAGCTAATCACTATGCAACCAGGAGTGATTATTAAAGATACACTTCCTACACTTCTAAGTGCACATACATACATATGTGTACCTCTACAGTTTAGAAAGAAAGGTTTGCACTTCAGCAGCATGGTTCAGATTACATCCGTGCCTCCATTGGCTGAATATAAAGTAATTGTTCCTGAAAACAAAGGCAAAAGAGAAACAGAAAGGATGTACAGATTCCCAAGCAGCCTTCTTTTCCTGTCAGAGGCATGGAAAGGCCTGTGTTCTCAAATGAAAAACCTAATCACCATCTAAGACTGCTCCATAAAGGAACAAGCACTTTTTGAACTGAGCTCTGTTACAAACCTCTGTTCAAAGGACTGCATAATTGGAAATCCCTGGTAAAATGAGATAATTCACATATCATGATACAAACATTCAGGGAATGATCAAAACATGAAAGAAAATGTTGTTCATGTACATACCTTCTATATTAAATTGGTACGATCTGTGAGAAAAGCAGCTCCTATATTTTTCTCTCTTCTATTGCCCTGCATCAATAGTATCAGTAGTTTTTTTTTGCTATTAGTACCAATGGAAACAGGGTCAGGCAACAAGAATTCAGGACAATTCAGTGTACTGACACATTATACCACACACTGCAACTACATCAACACACAACAGCTGGCTCTGTATGGATGATTGATACATGATTTCTATGTTCTTTCAGCTGAGAAAACACATTCCATGCACCAAAGGCCTTTCAAAGGCAGCATGGTGTACCTGTGGCTCTGGCTCAGATTGGCTCCCTCATGAAGTTGGTGCTTCTGTAAGCACCTAAAGTTCCGTGGTTCTGGCCTGTAGCAGGTCACAAGCTACTCAGCAACAGAACCAGGATATTATAATTATATTATAATTCTATTTAATTCTACCTTATATTTTTAAATCAAACCTGTTTTGTACCCCTTTGGTTACAAAACAAGGTGGCAAAAATACGTTCTATAAAAACCTACCCCACAGAACCACAAGATTTTGATGCATAAACATTTCAATGCTCTCAAAAAACATTAAGGAAGAAATAAAGCTCACAGAATAGTCTACTTAAGAAAAATCTTTTAATTGTTATTAATTTCAGTGGTCGTTTTCTTTTGTGTATTTAAATTCTAAATCAGATATATACAATTTAGCTTCTAGATTTCTTCCCTACAGAAATAATATATTTCCAGGAAAATATTGGGAAAGAAAATCTCAAGGTACCATCATTCTAAATACAACCTATTGTTATTACTTGATTAAGATAATTAAATGCTCTGGGTTGGAGTAACGGAGACTAGGAGTTTACACTCGGCATTTCCTTTCTGATTTTGTGCTTTCTGACAGAAGATATATCCCCCCTGTGGGGAGAAGTTCGGGCCCATAAACTCCTGGTTTCTCTGAGGCAGGTCTGAGAACCAGGTAAGAGAAATAGCTGTCACAAACTAGCTTTCTGCTTTTGTATTTCTCAGTTTCCAGTCTTCGCTTAGACGCACACTGCCTGAGGTACCTCACACAGATCTCTTCTGTGGGCTGTGGGGAAAATGAAGAAAAGCAGCAGGCCATAGGGCTCCTGAAGAGATGATATTAGATGGTTAACAGAATAAGAACAGGGTGGAACCATTTTCTTTCAGCTGTGTCGAATCCATTATTTTTAGCACCTTCATGAAACACAGAGGAAAACTGCCGTAAGGAAAGCACTGCACACAACTTTTCTAGTGACAAAGATAAGAGGAGACAGTTCTCTGGATCTAAATGAGCATCTGGCAAATCAAAAGCATAATTACTGTAAGGATGTCCACATTGAGCTCATTATTGGCAGGTTCTTAACCATGTCTAAGCTGTGGTAACACTGAAATAGTTCTGAAAATATTTTCAGGCTGTTAAAAAACCTCTCTCCTTTGTTTAATGTCAATTCCACTGCCACAGTTATAATGGAGTTGCATACTGCCTATAACTTGAATGTTTTTTTATTATTATTTATTTATTGAAACCAGCCCATTCAGAAAGCTGACAATTTAAGTGACGTGGATCATAAGCATCCACTTACCGCTATTACCACGACAACACATTTCCAAGTAATGTAACAACTCCACTGGAGTTACAAAAGCTGAGGCTATCAAATTGCATCCAGTCTGAAAACACGGTGAGGAATACCAAACAAAGACACCTTATGACTATAGAACATACCTTGATAGCCTCCTTCTTCCCTTGGATATTAAAAGCACATTAATTTTGTTGTATGAGACATGAAGAAATGCACTGTCTCTCCAAAACAGGCAATGGGCTGATGAAGCTAACTGCTGATCTTTCATTAGAAGTACAAGATGAAAAACAAACAAAAAGTAAAGAATTGAGTCTGGTGGAGTGACAGGAGGCTACTACACACTGTGCTGTATAAAGAGAGGACAGAGAACGTGCACCCAAAGTGCAACACAATGAGACAGGAAGGGAGATGGCAAAGAAAGAGAAGGGAGGAAGTCGATACTAACAGTGCTTCTATCTGAGATAGTAGTATAAAACATGACAAAATGAATACTCTTTCCAGATTCACATAACACATGTTAATTTCTCCTGCAGCAGGTTCCTTACATCTCAAAGAAACCAAGAATCTTCTTAAAAAACTTTGTCACCTCAGAGAGATGGGGTTATTCTGCACTGTTCCCTACACCTCAGTACAGGCCAAAGTCTCTATTCTTACTGCAAATCTGTCTGCTTTGTTGCTCCAGACACTGAAATTAACTGAAACTGGAGTATGCAATAACCTGTGTTCTGGGTGCTGACTCTCATAGCAGGCTGTAAGGGTCTCTTCATTTTCACTCATGTGCAATCTTCATCTCACTCCTCTTGAAATGAGAAGTTACAAAGCACATTGAATGGAACTTGAAATGTGAGATAGCCAGCTTAAGCCAATTAACATGTTTCTGACCTAGTGATTCTTATTTCCTTTTGGTTCCACACAAGATGATTCAGCACTTGAAATACCTGAGAACTGTAAAGTGTTGCAATGTTCATCACTGTTACAGTTGACACAAAGTAAAAAATGTCAATGTCTGTTATTGAAAAGGTTCTGCTCTCTGCTCTCACGTTCAGCTGTTACATAGCAAATGCACACAGACTACATTAGCTTTGTGTTAAAAATAAATTTGGGTAGAATCTCAAGCCTTCCACCGAATCGTCTCTGCAAAGATGGCCCATCTTTTCAGCAAGAAGCAGCCTGGAGAAAGCAAAAGAGGATTTGTTGCATTACTTGAGGACAACTTGATAACAAAGGTACTATTAAACACAATAATGATTTCTTACCTTTCTTTGGCTAAGAGAACAGACATTCCCACCAGCTTTGCAAACTCATCAGCTGTGAGAGAGCCCTTTTCAGATACCTATCAAAAAACAAACACGCTCATAAACAAACTGGGCATTAAAATAGCAACTCGCTCAGGCCTAGCTTTGTGAAGGAAAAAATTGGTAGCAAATCTCTTTGAAGAAAATAGTTTGCATTTTAAAAAATTAAAAATGAGTACATGGTACCCCTTCTTTCAGATTTTTTTTAAATACATGGAAGAAATTATTGGAAAAATTCAAGTAGCTCACAGACAGAGGTACACTGTCACAGTTACTGCTCATACAGCCTAAGTGATTCTGCAAACAGGAAAGCTCGAGTGAGGAAATAACACAGGCAAGACAGGTTGATTGAGAAATTCAAGTAATCTCAGAGAGAGGCAGAGAATTTAAGTTGATTTATGATATTGCCACTGACTGTATTAAATCCACAAACCTTGGTATTCCACCCTACATTGTGGCCTACTACTGGGATCACATTCACACAACAAAAGATTCAGTCTTGGGCTCAAAGCTTTGGTCCCATCATCCCAGTGATGCTAGTTAACATATGCTAAAGTGAAACATTCTCACATGGGTTGGCATGTGGACGTTTGAAATACAAAATTTCAAGTCCAGACTTATTACTGCATTGAATTTCTCATAATATGCTGTATTAGCCTACAAATTAAAAAATCTTACATTTTTTCACTTATTCAGATTCAAGCAAACTTGCAAATCTAGATGCAGTTGCCATTTCCTGCTTCCTATATAACCAGGTGGAAAAGGGTTCATTCTGCATCCTTCTCAGCAGTCTCTGAGCAGTAGTTTCCCTTTAGCAGAAACTCCAATTAAATTAGGCCTACCTTGAGAGTATATGACTAAATTTAGGTAATGGAAGTCAGTTATACAATCGAATATAGCACATGGGTAATTACTTTTCCTTCCCAAATCACTACTCTCATCAAGAGTGACTTCCCCTTTGACTTCCACATCTTCCTGTCTTCAGCACTCATTCAAAACCACATCACTCTCCTGTTTGAAACCCTGACTTCCTTTCACTTTTTCTCAAAAGTTTCATGTTATTATACATTAAGCACGGGGTGCTTTTGGTCAGAGTTCTCATCTCCTCCCTTTCCCTTATGGACTTGTCTTCCTCATACAAAGCCTCCCCCTTACATGGTTCTATGAAATCAATGCCCCATTTTATGAAAATAAAATAAAAAAGCACCTCAGTAATAAATCCACCTCAATAATAAATCCACCATCTGTTGTTTTTCATGGTTGACATCATTTCTTAAGAAAAGGCTTTTCCTTTCTTTTCAAAGAGCTAAGCTCTATTACTGAAGGTAACACATTAATTAGAAAACAAAAGAAATTAGAAAAAAAATGAACAAGTTATTTTTTTGGTAAACATAAGAAAAACAGGAAGGATGAACATATATTGGAAGGTGTGTTTTAATTTTGATAATTTTAGAAGATATCTGTTAGACAAGTACACACATCTTCTTATCTATTTCTCTGTGTGTGTGTGTGTGTGTGTGTTGAGAGATAGATATATAGTACCAATGATGCAAAACCACGCTGAAGAACCCACATGATGTATCAAGTGGGAAGGTGCTTCTCATAGCTCTTTGTCTGCCCAAGTCTCTTTTGACTCTCTGGATAGATTGAATCAGTGTATTCTGGTCTAGTACCAGATCTGGAGGTTGGTGGCCCTGCCTGTGCCAGGGGGTTGGAATGTGATGATCCTTGGGGTCTCTTCCAACCCAATCCGTTCTATGGTTCTATGAATCAGCTTTTATGCAGTGTTGTGAAAAAACAAAAATTTGCATTCTGCTAAAAAATGTGCAGGAAAATGCACCAAATTAATGGGATAGCAGCACTTTAAACAGTCAAGAAGTAGCCAGAGCAGGATCATCTGCCATACTGAGCAACTCATCTAACTTTTTTTTCTTCCTCGATGAACCTAGTTTAATTATCTATGTACCACTTTCCACGTGAGCATTCTTCACAGCCAACTCAAATGTTATAAATACAAAGTGCTATTTTACCCAAATCAAACAACTGCCTGTCTCAACATTTAAGAACTATTTTCACCACCTTCAAGCACAATGTGTACAGAGACTGAAGTCCGCAGTTGTTAAATTGTTTAATATATGCCATGAATTTCATCCTACAATGCAAAGATTTGGAGGAAGGTTAAAGGTTAATGAATTTTGAAAAGAGATGGAAAAATGCTTTATTCTTTATGGAGAAAGCAATGACCAAGATTATTGCCTGCATTGTAATTTGAAGATGAAAAGTGCCATTTAAGTATTATTGTTAGAAGATTTTAGAAGTGGAATATTTTGTATTTTAAAGCCCCAAAAGGAAATCCTGTACTTCACATTTCTCTACCTAATGTGTTTAAATTTCCCCAGTGTAATCAGAACACTGAAGGAAGTGAAGTTCACTTACTGTCTCTAAAGCAGAAGCAACCATTTCCTCTTCATTGTGAGACTGGAGCTCAATCACCATCACACCACTGTCAAATATTTGAAGCCTGAAATCAGAAGAGAAGGTCAAAGTAACCAAAAACCCCATGCACATCACCTATGGCCACCCTTCTGATACATCCACAAGCACATTACAAAATGAAAACAGGAAAGACTTGTAAAATGAACTTCAAGTTAAAAGCATCTTAGAAATAAAAGGAGATTGGAAAACACAGAGCATACATTTGGGCTTAGATAAGCCATTTTCCCAATATGGGGAAGAAAAAAAGGTTGGAAGTGAGAAGAATATCGTCTTCCTAGCAGACAAATTAAAGCATGGTTAAAATTCATATTTAAGTGTAGAGTGGGTGTTGGTGCACACAGCAGCACCTGGACAACTGTGTTTTAAAAAAAAAAGTTCCATATGTAAAATACTAAGTCAGCTAAGCACCATGCCCTGACTTATAAGTACCATGTTTTATAAATACATCTTCTGTACATCTCTTACCGTAGTGGTAATTTCAGTGGCTCCAGCATCTTACAAGCATTTACTAAATCTTCTGGTGAGAGCAACTAAAAATAGTAAAACACATTTATTTACAGCATTTCCAGTATCAGCATAACACCAAAACAAACAGTTGCTACAATGACAGGTAGAATATACACCAGGTTACTTAATTTTGTTTTCTTCCTTTCATACTGTCCCACCTATTCAATACTCCTTCCTGTTCCCTTACTGCTTTGCTTTTTTCTATAATACTCATTCTTACCCTGTTTACTGAGAGAACTGATGCATTTCGGAAAAAAAAATCCTCATTCTTTAGTATTCCCTGGTCTCAGTTCTCTTTCCAGATAAAGGTGGATTTTCCCCTCTATACAGTATTATGAAAAGCAGCATACATTATTATTAAGTATAGAGGATATGTAAACATTACATGGAAGAAGGAGAAAGAAAAAAGGTAAAAAACTCTGATTTTAATAAAAAGTTGATCGATTCAGATTATTACGTATAGTGAGCAATTGGTAGGGGATACTTTCAGTTTTTCTTGAATTACCTTAGCAAGGATGTGCACATTATACAAAACAAACAAACAAACAAAACCCTCAGAAAAACTAAGAAAACTAAGAAAAAATGGGGGAATGGTTTTAAACTAAGACAGGGGAGGTTTAGGTTAGGTATTAGGAGGAAGTTTTTCACACAGAGGGTGGTGATGCACTGGAACAGGTTGCCCAAGGAGGTTGTGGATGCCCCATCCCTGGAGGCATTCAAGGCCAGGCTGGATGTGGCTCTGGGCAGCCTGGTCTGATGGTTGGCAACCCTGCACATAGCAGGGGGGTTGAAACTGGATGATCATTGTGGTCCTTTTCAACCCAGACCATTCTATTGTGATTCTAGGTGATTCTAGGAAAACCAACTTCTCACCTCTAATCCTCGTGCACGATTTACCAGACAGTACACTTCTGTAAGTGACATGATTCCTCCTCTCTCCTGTGTAAGCACAAGACTGGTAAGAGAAATAGTATTAATCTAGTAAACACAGTATCTTAATTTGCATTTGACTGTTTGAACAGCTAAAACAGAGAAACTAATCGTGGCCTTTAATGATAAAGCTACCCTGTCAACAACACCTATTTCTAGCACTAGAAATAGTTTGTTAGCAATCTTTGTCCAACCATTTTAAAATGTAAAAGATTGATACTATACCCGAAGATTGAGAGCCAATTTTATTTTATTTGTCAAAGGAAGAAGGAATTTAGATATATTAAATTTATCAATCGATTTTCATTTTTCAGGCAGCATGTCTGATCATAACAGGTGGCACATTTCTTAAAGAAAACATTGCATACACTAATTAGGAGACATATAGATGCAGAAGTTTTAAATGTGAATATAGATTTCTGGCAAGAGTCTAGAACTTTCTAAGAGCTTCAGATAAAATATGAGATATTACTTGATGGAGAATAAGTATGTGATAAACAGTTTAATGAAATAATAGTTATATATTCAAAACTTGTACTGTTTTTCTTTCTAAAAAAAAAAAAAAAAAAAAAAAAAAAGCATATTCTGTGGCAAGGAATGAATACAGAGCTCTTCAAATAGCAGAAAGTCTGCTTAGGTGATCTACCAAATACCAGCAATTCTAATTCATAAATTAGAAACTGAGATACCATTTCTCCAAAAAAATATTCTTACACTTCACATTTACATTTTCTTTCTTGGAAAGACTTACGTAAGCAGTGAGTAAGAGGCTGTGCTGCTCCATTAGGAACTTTACAAAGAGGCACAGTAACACAGCTAGAACATATTTTCATGAAAACTCAGCACCACAAAGAAAACACTGGTGCAAAATTGGTACGTTACCTCTAATGGTGTCTGCAACATTCCAGCTAGTTGCTTTGCCAGCTGCATGTGGTAATGAGTACCAGATCCATGTGTTTCCCTAGTAACTGGATTGGCTATGCCCATACTCAGCAGATATGATTTGAACCTAATAGTCTAAACAAATAAATTCATTAAAAGTGTATCAGCTACTGAATGACTCTCATTTTTAAAGGACTTTCACTTCATTACTACAAGACAGTTTTGGTGAATTAATCCAAACAGTTTACTACCAATAAAGTCAGTTACTAGCAAAGTGAAAGCAAGAATAATACAGAACAGAAAACTGTCATTATCCGCCATACAAAGGCAGTAAAATCTATGCTTTTAAGAAAGTGCCAAAATAAAAGTTAACACCAAACTCGTAAGTCTCTTTAACTAGATTTAAAACAAAGAGAAAAACTCACAAAGTATTCTTTACAGAGCTTGCTTTATTAAAAGGATAGCTTTTGCTTTACACAGGGACATTTCTGTTGATTCTAAAAACAAAATTCATTTACCTCATCCTCTGTGATGTCACCTTGTTTTTCTTTAATCTTATTAGCAATTGACTTGGATAACTCCACCATTTCCTTAGCCTATCAAGAAAAATCCACAGATAAATCAATTTGCAGGTCATCAGAGAAAACATGCTTAAAACAGAAAACAAGCATAAATCTACTTGTGTAGGTAACATGTGCCATACCTTCTCCATTAGCTTACTAAGGTCCTCAAAAGCCTGAAAAGATAATCAAAACATTTCAGATCAGTACAATTACAGCAATCAGCTTCGCAGACACAGTGAGCTACCTCGGCATACCTGTTCAAGCTAATTGTAAAAGCTACTATTCCTTTACACTAGTAAGCTGTAGTGTGACATATTATTGACAATTGATTGTTTTATGAAAACTGTTTCATACAATACAAGTCTACAAAGAAAAAACATACAATCCATGAACAACAAGGAACAAAGGAAGAATCAAACAACTGAGCACTTTTCTAGAATGAGGAATAGTTCATATGGTCTCTGATCTCCATACAATGGGAAGGAACATTGAGAGACTGAGACCCAAAAAAGATTAAACAGACCAAGTCAATTATGCTCTCCTGAATGCTGGGCAAACATTTCTTGGCTGGTTTTCTTCAACCAAGTGAGTTAATGCTCACTCAAGAAGATGTATTGCTTCTGGACTGCAGTAAGCCAGCTGTAATGCTACAGAAACATTCTTCCTGACAACACAATTTTACTTTATTGAGTGGGAGCTTCTAAGTTAGTAAGAGAGACTGTAGTTACTTTCAAATGAGCAAGGAAGATGATATACAATTTGATAAGTATGCTTAACCAAAGAGACAAAATCTCTGAAATTGTGTCAACATCTTTGCATTTAAGTATCTCACACAACAGAACAGTGATGCTCCCATAATTAACACAAAACAGTTAAAAAAGGATGTAATAATATCCACGAGACAAACAATCAGATTTATATAAATTAAGATTTAAAAAAATAGATTAAAATCTTCTGAAAACTCTAGTTGTTGGACCTAAAAAGCACAACGCATGCTAAGGCAGGTAAATGCTTATTTGTACAGTTTTTTCTCCAGTCTGAGAAGCTTTATTGCTGTCACAAAAGTATGTAATAAACTGGACATACAACATAGGACCATGATTATATCAAGTGTATTGAGCTTAGTAAACTGCTATGGTCTCAAGTACAATAATTCTGCATTTTCAGGCTCAAATAAAAAGATCCACGTGTTTTGAGCATAAAGAAACAAAAAGTTAGTAAATACGTCATATATTTAAAAGTAACAAATTTTTGCCAGCCTTAGCAATATACAATCAGCCTTTGGTGCATCTAGCTAAATACATGACAACATGCCTGTGTAGTGAACGTGCCTTTTCAAACCACCTTTTTTGGCCAACTGGTTTGAGAAACATTCCAGAGCCTCCTCAGTTAATGCCTGCCTGAAAGCGGCACCCAGTAATTCCAGTCACAAGGAAAGATCATTCAGTTAGAATACAGCAAATGACCACAGATATATCTTGCCTACAGTTTCTAGGCATCACTTCTATGCCGTTTCCTATCTTCCAACTAATCCCCCTCTAGAAAGAATTTTAACAGGACTTACGCAGGAAGACTGAATTGTTTCTATCTACAAATATCTATGAACCTGACTTAGAAGCTTATTGGCCTGAGACCGTATACACAGATGAGAGAGATGTCTCCAAGAAGGGATGTTTTTTTTTTTCCACCCAAATCCGTCCTAATGGTAAAAATGACTTCACCTACCATAGAAGTTCAGCCTCTTAACACTTGGTACTTCAGCTAGGCATCCAAAACTAAGTGGAATATTTCTTCTTGGGGAAAGAAGGAGGAATGGTTTTAAACTGAGACAGGGGAGGTTTAGGTTAGATATTAGGAGGAAGTTTTTCACACAGAGGAGGTGACGCACTGGAACAGGTTGCCCAAGGAGGTTGTGGATGCCCCATCCCTGGAGGCATTCAAGGCCAGGCTGGATGTGGCTCTGGGCAGCCTGGTCTGGTGGTTGGCAATCCTGCACATAGCAGGGGGGTTGAAACTGGATGATCATTGTGGTCCTTTTCAACCCAGGCCATTCTATGATTCTATGGTGATTCTATGATTCTTTGATTTATGATTTAGCTTCCTTTTCTGCCAAATTCAATGGTTTACAATAGAATTCTCAATCTTTGGTGTAATTTAAGTCCTCCTACTGCGCTTGTATGATATCAACAAAATTTTCTAACAAGGTTTTTCCCAACTTATTTCTCATCTCTAAAACCTGCATGAAAACACTGTTCATCAAAAGAACCCTTGCTTTAGCTAAATAAACAGTATGCTGTGTGTAACTCCTCCTCTGCCTGACTCACAGAGGGCAGGCCTGGAAACAAAGGGGAATGTGCACACACCTAACAGGAACTTCCTCAGATAAACAAAAGGCTAAAGAACTGGATTCTTATCAGCAGTGAACAGCAGATGCAGGAAGCCTTTTTCTGGAAGCCAGGGCACCATTTTTTAAATTAAGTCATCTATAACATTTAAAGCTGGAGGAAGGCAGGATTTCACAAGTCATGATTTTCCCCCGTTGATGCAACACTTACAAATGGATTTCTTCTGCTCTCTGAAAAAGCTACAAACGGAAAAAATAACCAGACAATACCTTTTGAACTACACACACACAGCACAATGCCTTTTGAACTACACATACAATTTCATTCACTACATTCTTCATAAAAGAAGAAAAAATTGTAGTATTATCTGAAACAGCATACTGCCTACAAGCTGCCATGTAACTCTACGTATCAGAATATGCAGCATGCTTTTTATTGGGGCACACTGAATCTTGTAATACTTTGCCAGTCGAATCAATCTGTTGCAGACAGTTTATGAGTATTCCCACATCAATCCCAGAGAGGTTGTGGATGCCCCGTCCCTGGAGGTGTTCAAGGCCAGGTTGGATGGGGCAGCCTGGTCTAGTATTAAATGGGGAGGTTGGTGGCCCTGCCTGTGGCAGGGGGGTTGGAGGTTCATGATCCTTGTGGTCTCTGCAAACCTGGGCTGTTCTGTGATTCTGTGAATCTGTGTATCACTCTCTATTACGTGACAGAACCAGATCAGTTCAAAGGATATTACTCCCAATACATCTGAAAGATTTTCAGTGAAGAAACAAATTGATTCTGCTGTCCATCAGCATTGACATTTGGAAGTCAATTACTGCACTGTTTCTGGGAAAAAGGACAGTATCCATCCTGCCAACATACCCTGCACAGATACCTGTAGCTTGCTGAAGCCTGGACAACTATGGCACTGTAATTATAAGTTTAAGTCTAACATTTAAAAAATAAGCATCCATGTGATGAAAATGTAAATGCACCACGATTATGCACACCTAGACCAGCAAGTTAGTCTAAATACATATTAAATTTTCAATTGAAACCAAAACTAGCTGTACAAAGAGGAAAAAAACACTTGTCATGTTCTCTTTCTGTAGAAGTCTCTGCATTCTGCTTCTGTTGATGAAAAGTCATTGAGCTCAGATTTTTAATTCCATCAAAATGAATCTTACAAAGACACAGCAGTAGTTCTGAAGTACAGCCTTCTTAAAAGGAACTGTTTACATGAAGTACTCTTACAAATATTGAAAAAGCAGTTAAAAAATAAATAATTGTAAAATATACACTCTTAATCAATTCAGATGTCTCAACAAAAGCAATAAACAATCTCAGCTGCCCCTAAAAGAAAGTGTGAATGAACAAAAATAGCTCATACAGATGGCTGACCTTGAGACTTCAGTAGTATTTACCTCGGAAATGTTTTTGTCAGTCTCTTTTCTTTTTGCCTCTAGTTTCCTTTCGATCCCTACAATTCCTACAGCTCTTATTCTTCCTGCCTAAAAAAGAAAATAAAGCACGGAATCAAAATAGGAAATGCTAAGTTTTCTCATTCACCTCAGCATGAAAAACCTTGTATCAGAACACAGAAAAAGATCCTTCAAATAGCCAATAACATACATACAATAATTCATATATTTTTTTACTGTACTTTTAAAATCAGCGTCAAAAAATAAACGTGTCTAAAGCAAGTATAAACCTGCTGTCCTATAGGCAGATAATGGTTATTATATTGAAGCTATTAACATGAATATGCTTAATAGCTTGGTCTAGACTGAATATTCCAGTTTATCCCAATTAAAGTCTCCTGAGTCCATGTGAACATCTACAATACAGAGCGATGCAAATACATGAGTACTTCTAAACAGAATTACCTCATGAAATCTGTGTTCTGCATATTCATATGTACCATATATTCACATACAATTGCAATATGCACACATTTATCAGAGTTTTTAACCTAGAAGTACGCAGACAGATAAAAAAAGACAACCAAACTGACAAAGATGTCCTCCAGAACAACTGCCCAATTACAATATAAATATAAATCAGATCCATGTGGTTTTCAAACATATAAAATATACATGTTACATATCTGACTTCTGGCCACAAAAAACAGAAAAGAGATCATCAAAAACCTTTTAGCTTTATCAAGTCTCTCATGCTGAATGTGTTATTACAGAACTGAGCTCACCATCAACTAGTCAAGGCAGAGCACACCTAAGGAAGACAGGCCAGAGGCAGATGCAGTATATGGAAACAGCACTTGTGGAAACAAAATTACATGAAAGTTCTGAACTCAAACTAAACAAAGCAACATGAGACATACACAAGAATGCCAGAAGCTCTGCTCCTACCTGTGGATCCTTGTTAACCTGAATGGTCTGTCCAGCAGGCATGTTCTCCCATCTCCTTTGTGTAATTTCTTCTGAGAATCGTCTAAAGAACTGCAAACATTTAAGAGTGACAATAGATGTTTCATAAAATACGCAGAGTAGCTTCTTGGCCAACAAATCAAATGTCTCTATAAGAAGCAGCAGCATGGTAACACCTACATATTCACAGCACAACATTCTTTTCCAGTCTTCAAAAATACACTTGGTAGAAAAGGAGCTACTAGTCAAACTACCATGACTACTTCTACTATAAAATATTTTTTGAGATATTCAAAATGTTCTAAAACATGTTGAAGTTAATAATGGCAAGGTTTGCTCAAACGCCTGCTTTTAAAAGGAAAGAAAATTGATCGATATAATTATTAACAACCTGTTAATTGAATAGCATAAAGACAACCACGCAGACTTATTTGTTTAATGCTAATACTAGAAAGTGGCATTAGTTGATTAGTTAACTTTGTGAGCAACCTTGCTCACAAAAAAATGAAAGTGAGTGTGATGAAACATATGCACGTTAGATACAGATAAAGAAGACACACAGATGTCTTATAAAGATATCTCTAACTAATTCAAGTTGAAAATCTGATTTTTGGCAGTGAAATGGCATGGCTTTCTTCTGTCTTTCAGAGCTAAAGTTTTCCATCTCTCCACATGAGGATTTTATCCTGTGACATTTCTTCACAGAGGACAATTCCTTTTTTTTTTCTTTTTAAAACCTATTGCATTTTGATATTAGCAGTTGGTAAAACAAAAAAGAGGAAAGAAAGAAAAAAAAGATTTATAAAACACAATGAAACAAAGCTCTAAAGCAATGAGAGAATTGATCAGGAGTAAACAGCTTGATTTCCATTCAGTGGAGAGGTACAAAGAAACACCTTTTACTCTATTAACAGTAACAGATTGCAAGGTCATCATTTTGGAAAATAACGTGTTCCATTTAGAAAAATACTACAGGAAGAATAAGACGTTACTAAATCTACCAAAAAGAGGACAAAGTTTCATAGCATCTCCTGACATTTTTGGGACTCTGTTTAATCAAAGCACAGAATCCTGAATGCTCACAGTGTTTGCTTTAAAAAAGGATGTACTGAAAAAGCTCCACTTCAAAAGTCAACACAGAAAGATCATGGAAAATTATCACTATCACAGCAAGAGGAGAAAGGCATGTCCAAAGCTCTGATATACTGGGTTTGCATGGTACAAAACTTACCTCAATTTGCCCATGCTCTTTGAAAGAAAGTTTTATGTAGGAGTATTTGCTGCTTTGGAATGGGCCGGGCTCTTTGTTTGGAGAAGCAGGATGAAGATGAGCTACTATTTTGGCACTAAGAAAAAGTTAAAGAAAAGAGAAAATACAGCTTTTTTCATTAACTAAAAAATAAAAAAACAAAACCCAAACCCTCTTCCTACAGTCAAAGTTATCTATCTATTCAAAATCTGCACTAGCTTTATCTCATGTAAGAACTAAAGTACATCAAATAATGCTTTACATTTGTGCAATAACATTTAAATGTTTTGCCACCATATATATATATATATTTGTGTGCATCTTGCATAAGAACTATTACAACCTCTCAAACAATAACATCTCACAAGTTTAAAATGCATCTGCCATAATTTTTAAAAATTAAATGCAACAGATCTTAAGACTTCAAGCAATTATTTTTGAGAGTGTTAGTTAAGGTAAAAACTAATTGTCAAGCAGTACTTTTGATTTGGCTCTTGACTTGCAATGATTACTGTCAAAACACACTAACTCTATCATAAGAAAACAGAAAATCTCAATATTCTGTTTAATCTGTCTGCTTGTATGCATCACTTGTGAACACTGTATATGAGTTTGTCCAAAATCAACATTGAAAGGTAATGTGTGTGGAAATAACAGCCTAACATGACACCTACCACCAAAACAAACCTTGAGATAGTATGACTTTAGGAATATACTAAGCCACTATCACAATATGGGAGCAAGTCTGCCATTCCCATTTCATTTTACAAATAGTTATTTTTACAGATCTTTATTTGCCTTCTTCAGCAAAAAGGAACTACCTGATCTCACCTGGGCACCCCCAGGATATTACCTTAGTCTATTCATCTGACTGCATCTATTCATCTGGCTGCAAGCACCTATCTCTATGCAATTTCTCCATTTAATCTTTTTCTTGTCAAACTTCTTTGTACACATACCACACCAAATTAGTTACCTAACTGAGGGGAAACACCAGCTCTTTCTATCCCTCACCAGCACTTCCTGAATCTGACTGAAGCTCAGATTCAATCATACATTCATGTAAAGTAAGACAATATGGGATTTGGCAGGGTCTCTGTTCCTAACCAGTTCTGTGACATAAATGACAAAAATCAGCTTTCAAATTTAGATTCAGTAACATCACTGTGGTATTATGACTAATCAATGAAAATGGCAAGCTGGAACACATACTTTAGTGCTTACAAGATGATTTAACCATTTGCATCAAACACGACTTTGCCATGACTTGCTTATGCACTTGGTTTTAAGTGAGGAAAGCTGGGCTCTGTGGCTGTCAATGTGGAAACATGGTTTACAAACTGACCCTACCATGGATAATTAAGTAATCTTGGATTTGTCGCATAACACATATGCAATTAAATATCAATGTGAGAAAACCAAAATATTTATCATAGGATCATAATAAAATCATGGAACAGCTCGGATTGGAAAGGACCTTAAAGCTCACCCAGTCCCAACCCCCTGTTATGGTCAATGCCAGCCAGCAGCTCAGGCTGCTCAGGGCCCCATCCAACCTGGCCTTGAGTGCCTCCAGGGATGGGGCACCCACAGCTTTTCTGGGCAGCTGTGCCAGTGTCTCAATGCCCGCTCAGTGAAAAATTTCCTCCCAACATCTAAGCTAAATCTCTTCTCTTTTAGCTTGAAGTCATTCTCCCTTGTCCTATCACTATCTACCTGTGTAAAAAGTTTTTTATCACCTTACCTTTTTCCTATCCCAGCTGCTTGCTCTTCAATAAAGACAACTTGAGACAGAGGTATAGCAATGCAGCATTCCTGGAATTATCAATGGAAACACAAAAGAAATTAAAGCCACATCCTGACTCTTAAACCATTTATTCTCTTTTCCCATTTCATAAACAGTAAAGATTTCTACAGGTGCTGTCAGAGGCACTGCAGATGAAGTACAGTGTTAACAATAGAAACACTCTATTAAAGAGAAATAAAAATACAAAACCACAGATTTGAAGCTGAGTTCCAGACAACCAAAACAAATCTAAGTGTAAGGCACTTCAGGCTAGATTCATAAAACCTCAACTGAACAAAGACACGAACACTGCAGTTTATCCCTGTAAGTGCATAATGCTAATAGGTTCTTCAAATGTTTGGATTGATGTTACTCGGGGAGCCAAAGCACTACACAAAACCACCAGCCTTCTCAGTGCTGAATGTCTAAAAGCTGGATTACTTTTTGAGTGGTGATACACCAATTAGGAATGTCTCCATCTATCCATCCTCACAGGCTTAACGTTAACACACATTTATTGAACTGTACTTTAGACAAATCAAAGCAGAGCAAGAAACGAGGCTGTACCTATCTGTGGGAAACTAATCTAAACTCTTTATTTATGTATTTGAGACAGAAGTTGCTGAAGGGAACAATTCAAAGTATCCAATTATGTGACTGGTCTTGTTTTGGTGAATATCCTTTGCTGAACATCCTCTTTCACATGATAGCTTGGAGATCAATGGTCAGTCAGAATGCAGGAAACCTTACAGTCCCTCTTTGAAGCTTTCTCTCCCATCAGTCACAAAGGTGTTCCTAACACCAGGTTATAATGAATACTGTTATGAGGTCCTCTCAATCCAAATGTTACCAAAACTGTTCTTTGCATGGAATGATTAAATATACATTAAATTGGAGCTTATAAGTATATGTGGAGGAACTTCTACTAATGAATAAATCTCTCATGGGGGAAAAAAAACCACATGGCTTTTACTTCCTGTTTTAGACTATTTTGATTCTTCTCTGGCTCCAGATCTAACAGCCAATGTACAGAACAATTATGTTTGCAAAATGCCCACATAAATATAGGGGAAAAAAAAAAAAAAAGATTCCATTAAAAAACAAAGGTTTTGAAAACAACAAGAGAGTCAAATTTCATATAACAACGTATAATATCTAGATTTTTTAAACAATACATTAATTTAGTCCATAGCTAGAAAGCTATGAATTTACTCTGAGTACAACGACTTCACTCCTTCCTGGGGACAGAAGCAAGAGAAAGTGATACCAAAAGAGCAATGAATTAAAAGTTCTGTGGGGATATGAGGACAATGTGTTCATTTGGATCTATTTTTCTACTACTTAGTGTTGAAATTATGTATGATTTTGCGATCTGTAGTGTTGTGCAAATCTAGCTATGTTACAAACTTAGAAGAATTACATCATTTTTTTCTTTGGAAATCATTATTTTCTGTACTGTTTAAACGCAGATGGTATGTAAGGACAGCAGCTGTAAAACACAAGTGTTTTTGTAACAACTTTTGCTACTTTAGCCTAACAAGTAGCCTCCTTTATTACAAAAGTTTGTTGACAGAACAAAAGGGAATCACCTGAAGTTTATTCTAGGTAAGGCAGCTAAGGTTTCTAAAGTTTATGCATCATAGCCCAACATGAATATGAAAGGCCATTGTGTTACCCAAGCTTCACTCCTAAGAGTTTGAGAAAGAAACAGCTTCATTTACCACAGTAACAAAGTTATAGATTTAAAAAAGAAAGCAAAAACTTAGCTCTTTTGAGACAGAAGTAACCTATACTAGATTAGACATGGATAATTTCTGCCAATCTGCTGCCGTATGTTTCTGCCTCCTCCCTTAATCAGACCTTGTTTGTCAGAATCTTTGCTAAGTTAAATTGTTTTCCTTTTTTGTTTTCTATTTTTATTATTTTATTTTCATCTATTTATCTATTTGATATATATTTATCTATTTTATTATTTTATTTTATTTTTTGTTTTCTATTTTCTTATTCCCCAAGTTTCTTCTCTGCTTTTTAGCAAATTCCATGATCTTTGGAAGAGCACAAGAAACCACGTGATTTAGGTAGCTTCTTTAGGAGAAGAAACAAATATCATCATTTTGTTGAGGAGAAAAAGGGAATCTGAACAGTTGTTAGACTTGCTGAAGCTGTCATGTGCAGTGTTACTTCAGGCAAACTGGAAGCCTGAGAAGATCAGAAGCAATGCATATTGCCTTACATGCCCGCCTGTCACGAAAAGATGCTGATGAAGAAGTCAGAGGGGTGAATTACAGAGACAGTTCAACACAGGTAAATTATCTCACATTGTCTGTGCAAAAAAACAAACAAATAAATAAATAAATAAATTTAAAAAAATTACAGAATGGCTTGTGATTTAGACAACTTCCTGACTTAATAGTAACCCCCAGCTGGGACAGACTCTCTGAACAAAGCATTTTGAAAAACTTCAACTATAAATAGTTCCTGAACAATCCCTACAGAAAAAAATATATACATATTTATAATGTATATATATAAGTTATACATGGCAACCCCGCCTGTGGCAGGGGAGTTGGAACTTGATGATTGAGGTTCCCTCCTACTCAGGCCATTCTATGATTCTATGATATACGCATATAAGTTGCATTGTCAAATTCAGATCATCCTTGGTGACCTACATGTCATGAAGCTCAGAATAGCTCACCACTGTGGAGCAAGAACGTGATAATTGGTGGGGAATAGTCACTAAGTATGAGAGTTGCTTTAGTTACCCTTGCTAAAAGCTAGTCCAGTGAAATAAAACTCTCTTTTGAAGATCTGTTATGTGCACATGGCTTCTGAGTCTAAATTTTCTAAAATATTGTGTCCAAAACAAAGAGAATTCAAACTGGTTCTGAGAAAGACATCTCCAATTCCAACTCTAAGATGGTGCACATTATAGCAGTCTATGTTTAGAGCCAATTAAATATCTGTAATCTTTCTCACCCATTCATAGCTTATAATCTCAGGCCACCAGGGACCTGATGTAAAGCATTCAGCAGCAGCATCACACTGTAGTTTCAACAGCACCACTTAACCTCTAAACTGATTCTCCAAAGTAGTACAGACAAATGGTCTGGCTTAATGGTTCAGCACAGTAATAGTCAGCTGGAAGGATAAGGCCTGTAAAACCTAATACTGCCACCAAACACTGACTATTATCATGGCCTGGTATTTGTGCTGGAACCAGAAGATAGGGATGCTTGGACTTAGAAACACAATGAGGAAGAAAAGGTCTTGATAGATGAGGAGCAGGAAAAGGCATTCAGATTACAGTTAGAGCGACATTTTCACCTTCATTCTCAAAACCAAGTATCTAGGATATGATGCCAGACTCTTCCTTCTCTATCTGTGTGCCACAGAAAAGGAAAAATTATATGATTCCTTTCTGCCCCTCCTCATCTCTGCACAATCATTTTATTAAAGCAGAATTGGGTGAAAGAATATTACTTGTACATTATCTTCTTTGAACATAATTTCTGTGAAACAAAATGTGGGCTACATGTGTAAGACAAAACATACACAGACAAAGCTGTGGTGGTGAGGCACTGCAACAGGTCACCTAGAGATGTGGTGGATGCCCCGACTCTGGAGACTTGCAAGGCAGGGCTGTACCAGGTCTGGGCAACATGATCGAGCTGCGGATGCCCCTGTTCACTGCGGGTAAGTTGGACTAGATAAGTGTAAAATGTTCCTTCCACTTCTAGGGATTCCATGATTTCTTTTTCATTTGCAAACTCCAACTTACTTGATATGTAATTTACAACTGAGTGACATGCAAGAGACAAAAGTGGGACTTACATGATTCTTCTGATCCCTCCATATTAATCTGTGTGTGCTAAGCAGTAGTACTCCACTATCAAATTTCACCTAAGCAAGAAACATAAAACAGATTAACAACAAATTTAACTACTAAGTGGCATAAATAAATCATGAAATCATTAAGGTTAAAAAGACCTCCAAGATCATCAAGTGAAAGTGTAAACTCATCACCACAACACTCAACTTGGTAACATTACACATCAGCACAATGTTGGAATAAGATACAAGTCAATATTTTGAGGGCGCTCTTATTATTTTTTCTTCCCGAGAACAGAATCAATAAAGTTAATGGAAAAAGAAATGGGGAAAACCAGCATAAAAGGATTACATGGATATACACAAACTTCCTTTTGAACTTCATAAACATACTCTCAGGAAATCCTGAGAGATCCTCCCTCCACATGCTGTGCAAGATATACAAAATGCTAAATATCCTATTTTTAAAAGGGCTATTGGCTTTTGTTTGCTGATAAAGAAAGTAGAAGTTCTATAAAAACACAAAGCAACCTAATGAGAACGTGCTACAGACAGAAGTCTTCAGGCCTATCAAACAGAAGTGTTCCCTCTACCCATTTTAATTGATGAAGAAATATTTTATTTATCGGTAAGCAATCAGGATTGGGAAAATCTGTGTTAGCAAATTGCTTCCCACTTGTAAAACTCAAAGGAAGCTTTTGTAGCTCCTTACAAATGTATGCAGCCATTCTGGTGGAGAAAAGCAGGGAGACCAAGTGGCACCGGCTGCGCGGGGAAGAGGCGGAGTCACCGCCCCGGCGGCGTTCGTGGCACTGAGGGACACGGCCAGTGGGGACGGGCTGGGGGTTGGAGGAGATGAGCTTGGAGCTCTTTTCCAGCCTTAATGACTGTGTAATTCGCAGAGCCCTGTCAGACCTCGCAGCAATGGCTGCTGCGGCTCTGCCTCGCGCTTCTCCTCAGCTACGTCCCCTCACGCTCACTCGCCCCCCCTCGTCCCGGAGCCCACAGCAGCATCCCGCGTTCCCCCAGCTCCTCCGCCCGCGCCCCCGCCGGCACTCCGGGCCCGGCCGCGCCGCCAGCCGCTCCCGTCACCTTGTCCTCCCCGTCGTAGAGACGCACGCCGCGCTGCTGGAGCACCAGCGTCTCTCCCAGCTCCAGCAGCCCGCTGGTCCAGGAGAACCGATCCATGGCTGTCCGGGAGGAATTCTCCCTACGTCAGGAGAGACCAGGCCGCAGACACCGCTCTCGTCCGGCAGGCACCGGGCGAGCAGGGCCCTGCCCCGACCGCACCAGCCACGGCGTCGCGGCGCCCTCCAGCGGCAGCCTGAGGAGAGGCCGCCATTTTCTCGCAGCAGCGCCCTCCAGCGACGGCCCCGAGAACGGCCGCCATTTTCTCGCCGCGGTGCGGGCAGCGCCATTGGCGCGTTCAATTCCCGCGGCCGGCCAATCAGAGAGGCGGAGTGCGGCGGGGATTTCAAACGGCGCGGCCGCTCCCAGCCCGTCCGGCCATGGCAGCGCGGCTCCCCCCGCAGCTCCCCGCCAGCCGCCGGTCCGAGCCGGAGTACCGAGGTAAGGCTGCTGCTGGGGGCTGAGCTCGGTCGGATTTCTGCCACCCTGCGTGCCCTCAGCGCTGGGTGAGGGGGGAACTCAGGGAGAAGCGCAAGGGTTGCGCTGCCCGTCAGGAGTTCGTTCGTTGCGTTTTGTGCGTTTCTGGTTTTCTTCGTGTTGTTTTTGGAGCGTTCTATTAAGTGCGTAATCCTACTCGAGGATTAATGTTCAGGGCTCAAAGGCAACGTTCAAGTAATCTCTACTTCCTCAGCTTCAGTGAGATAGCAATATCTGCATGTTGAGGGAGCACAGTGATGGGACTTCAGCCTAGAGGAAAGAGCTCGAGGTAATCTGAGAGGCCTGTCAGTATCTGAAGGGGGCAGGCTCTTTAGCTGGGTCTCCGGTGACAGGACAAAGGGAAACGGTTTCAAAGTAAAGGAGGAGAGATTTAGATTGGCTATAAGGAAGAGGGTGTTGTGTGTGTGTGTGTGTGTGTGTGTGATTACAATAAAGGGTTAGGCACAGGTTGCCCAGAGAAGTGGTGGATGCCTGTCCCAGAGACATTTGAGGCCGAGCTGGATCAGGCTCTGAGCAACCTAATCTAGCTGCAGATGTCCCTGATCATTGCTGGGAAGTTGTATTACATAACCTTTAAGTGTCCTTCCCAACTAAACGTTTCTCTGACTTGAGGCACAGTGGCAACTTGTGAAATGTGAAGCAAGAACGATGGCTAAGACAAAATCTGAAAGAACAGGCATGAAGAGGTTCAGGAGGGGAATTATGCCTTGGAAAGGAGATGTTTGTTATTTCTGTAAGTTTCTTACACTGGTGAATGAATCTGTCTCTTTTGGAGACAGGAATTCACAGCTTTGCACCTGAATGACATAAACAGTTTGTTGTTTCTGTGAGTCGGTGGCTAATGCTTTAATTTTGTGCCCTCTAATCCCAATGAGTGTGTGGCTGCTGCAAGGCTTGGAGACTTAACTGTCCCAGCTGCCTGTGGCTGCTTGACTTCTACTTTGGGCAGGACTGTTCAATCCCAGCTGCTTCCAGTTCCCTGTGGAGAAAAGGACTCTAAAATTTAAAGATGAGCAATACATAGTAAGAAGGACTGGCAGTCTGTTATGCAGTTAACCAACAAGAACATGGGAAATCAGAAATTCATACCAGAATATATCTTTATTAGGATACTGAGGGCTGGCTTAAGACCTTCTCAGGATCACGTTGCGCTGTTAAGAACACTCCCATTTTTGGTCTGGCATTTGTTCAGAATCCTAGATGACAACATAAGAGAAGCAAGTGATTTTACAGGTGGTTGGTTGGGTTCACACGTGTTTTGTTTTTTTTTGTTAGTGGCTATCACAAGTGAAAAGTGGACTTGCTAAACCAGCAACAGGTACGTTAATGGCATCTACAGGCAAGCATTCAGAAAAGACAAAACAGGGCCTAATTTCTTCCCATTCTTCCCACTGGTTTGGTTTAGGTTTCTTCTAGCTTAGTAGTCAGTGCAGGAAAACAGTCATTGTGTATAGCTATAAAATTATATTGCACTGCCCCTTGCAGCCAAACTTCCTCAAGAAATTAGATGTTTGTGAGCATTAAAGAATTGTCTGATCAATAGTGTCTGTTTAACAATGTCTTGTTACTTTATTTCTTTTCTAGGAGGCAAAGCATGGCATTACTAGTTTAGCTAAAATGTAACAGTGTAACATGTTTTTTTAAACCCCTTAGAACAGAGAAGACAAAAAGTTGAAGAATACCTATCAAGAAAAAAGACCTTTTCTGGCATGCCAATTCATGAAAATGAGACATCAATCAGGTACCATCATTTTCTGCTATTTATATTCCTTTTGGAAATGGACGGTAATAAAGATGTAAGTGGCCATTCTTACAGAGAATCACAGTCAAAAGATAACACTGTGCAATGAGTAGTGACCATGTGGGTTTCTGTATGTCCTTTTATTGGCAGCAACTATTAAAAGTTTGTGTTAAATAAATGCAACTGCTATGTAGATGTAACTTAAGTGTGTTGCCCATTCCACTGGAGACTGAGGCATGGGAGGACACTTTAATTGCAAAACTCTTATATCAGTTGACACTGTTTTCCTCTACAGCCCTCCTTCTGCAAATACTTTTTTTCCTTCTTCTTGCTCAGGTTATGTCACATGTGTTCACAGTACAGTTAGTCTAATCTCATTGTGTTTTGTAGTTACCAATTTAATACTTGCTGTTAAGAGCAAGTATATTATAATAGAAATTAGACTGTGTGGTGACCAGAAGATAGACATATTCTGTGAACAGATTGTGGGCACCTACATTGATCATTAATGCTTCTTGTTATTTACTTAATTTTAAGTGCTTTTCCTGCTATTGTCTGAAGTTTGGATATTCATTATAAAGGACCTGGCAATAAGCAAGAATAGCTTCTTTAGAGATAAGTGTCGTAAAGGAGTTCAAAAGATGCTAGCTCTAATCCTAGTTTGTGTTTTGGATTTGCCACTTAAATGTTTTTGCAATTAAGAAACTTCAGCATGGAATTTATTCTTATTTAAATGGAAAGCCTGGTTTACCACTTGAAGTGGCTTCCTATTTCTATCTGCTGTTGAACAGCATCTTGATGGTACAAATCTAGATGAACAGTGAGCGACCTTTGAATATAAAATGCACATGAATTGCAAGAATAAATATAATCCATCAAATGCCTGTTCTGTGTAGCAAGAAAAGGCATGTGCTTTCATGATGTATAAAGCTGTCTTTTTTTTTGGGGGGGAGAGGTTGGGAGGGAGTGGCTACTTTAATTGTACTAGTAACTTTATTGTAGTGTTTGATCTACTATAATTTTCCTTGCTTTCTGCTGCTTTGGCTATTCCTCCCTCAAGTGTAGTGTATTGGAAACTTGACCTTTTGTATCAGGTGCAACATATCCCTAAGCAGAAGAATGGTATCTGAAGTGAATGTGGTCAGTTAACTCTTCTTCCCTACCTCAACCAGCTTTCTGTGATGTGGGAGATGTCTTACAGTCTGGGCCATGACCAGTGCTTGCTTAACCATTTCTCTTTCCTGGAGGCAGAGTTCATGCTGAGCAGAACTGCTTCAGTGCAAGTTCAGCTTGTACATTGCTGCCTGAATTGTATTCTTGTGTTGTTTAAGATAATCTTTAATTTTTCTTAATACAGTAGCAGAACTAGGAAAGCAGCTAGCAATAAACTGCAAGATAAAACAAAGCTGCCAGCATCTCCAAAGCCAGAAATGGTAAGTCTTCAATAGTCAAATACTGATGGCACTCTTTCTGTGGCTATCGTGTTCTGCTCACTGAAATCAAATACCTGAAATACTTCTAGAGTATGAGAATTTTGCAGGTGCAGAGGAATGCTATTTAAAATCTTACCAAGTTCTGTCAGAATAGAGAAATCATCTAGTGTGCTTGTTTTTTGTTTTAAACTAACCAACAACTGACTATTGTAATGTTGGTAGGTTTAATGTAATCAGAAGAGGATGCTGAATATCCAGGAACTAGTCTCACTTCTTATAACCTCTGTGCTGGGATTATGCTAAGAATTTAAAGACAAGAGTTTCAGTTCATAAGGCATTCACAGAGAATGCCTTATAAAACAAGGTCTATTTTTTATCTATAACTCATTAATAACAGAAGTTCTTTCTATTTTGGTAGCACATCCTAATGGCCTTATTAAAGACTTTTCTCACTACCTACATTCATTGGGCAACCCATGGTGAAAGGAGGAATTGTGCTGCCATTAAGTGATAAGTTATTCAAACTGTGATATTGTTTTTGACTGCATGCAGCCTAAAGCAAGTTTATATTGTAGAACTCTTCTTGGAAGTCACTTAAAAGCTGACAGCAGCTTTTAAAATAATTTTCTTTCTGTAGGGAGAGTCTAACCCTCTGGCTGGGCCCTGTTACTCCCCAAGGCAAAACTTAAACAATCATTTGGTTTCTAAACAAGATTTTTGGAGTAATAGCTGACAAATAATCTACTTCATGTGTATATGTATGCTATATGTATTAAATTGGCATTTACTGTTAACTGATTCCTTTAAATATGCAAAAGCCTCTAAGGAACTTTAAATAGCCTGCAACATGAATGCACATCTAACATCTTCATGGAAATGCTTCTGATTTCAGGAAGATAAGGAGAATGCTAATGAGCTTTCATGGGACCAATCAAGCAGAACTTCAGAAGAAAATATTTTGAAATCTTCTACAATCACACTGGCATCAGAGACGAGCTGTAATCCTGAAGATCACACTTCAGTGAATAAAGTCACTGAAATAAAGTCTCAGCGTGTATTAATCAGCAAGTCCTTGCAAGTAAAAACCACGAAAGAGAAACAACTGACAGCAGAAAAACACAGTTCAAATGTCAGCCTACCAAAGAAACCAGTGCTTGGTACATATCGTGGCAAAGTCATCCAATCCAAGATCAACTCCTTCCGAAAAGCACCAAAGAGTGAGGGGGAAAAGAGTTCTTTGTCAGATGAGAAGCTTCTTACTTCTGCTACCAAACCAGCTGTGAAATCTTTGTCCAGAGGCAGCTGCAATGTACTTCTGAAGACTGTGAAAGTCACAAATAATCCTAATTCTGTAAAACCTAATTGTGTCCCACCGTTACAGAGCAAACCATCTGTCAGATCTGCTACTAACTCCCAGTCCAGTCTTAATAAACAGCCATCAACATCTGCAATAGTACCAAAAAAATTAACAGCCCAAAAAATTATTGGGAAGAGGGAACCTCAGCAACTGAAGGCTGCTACTAAGAATTCTGACCATGGAACACTAAGAATGAAGAGATGTGAG